GAATAAAAAAAACAAGAAATGCAATGCATTGGCCTGAATATGCATATTAGTGCAGCAGGGTCAATCCATCAGATGGGTTGGCTGGGATGTCCAGTGTGTGTGTGTAGTGCTGCATCTGGTCTGGATCCAGGCTGGTCCAGGGGGATGCAGAGCATTAAAGCCAGTGGCTGCTGGGGGAGAGGGGTTGTCCTCCCCTGGAGAGACTGAAAGAGGAGGCCTGCTATAATCTACATCCCTGGCTCATCATGAAAGAGAGCAGAGGACACACACACACCAGAGACTGACCCCCTCCTCCAGCTCCAGCCTTTCTCATCTGTTATCACCATACACCTCTCCTGCCCCATCTACCGTTCTGCTCCTTCCCGCCATTCTTCCTCAATCCTCATCTGTCTTCCCTTCCCGGTTTAGTTCTTCAGTGCTAAAACCTGCTCCAGCCTTTTTATCTTTCTGTCTCCATCCTTCAAGACTTTTTGGTTGGTACACAGAAGACTTTCTATAAATGTACAATGCGAAACATACTGGTGCTTCAAAAAACCCAGTTTAATTGCTCACAGGTTAAGCTTTGATATTTCAGGACATTTATGTTAGATATATATTTCATCAGAGTATCAACTTTGTCTCTGATGTTTCTCATCAAAATAGGCACAAATGAGTTCAATAATCAACATACAGTAAGAGTATAGAGCTATAAAAGAGCATATGCTTTTTGATGAGAAATGTTCAAGTTCATAGTGAGAAGTCTGTGCAACTCTGAGCACAGTTTGAGACATTATTGAGACTTTTCTCAGGAAAAACGTAAGGAGACTTTAGCAAAGTCCATTTAACATCTTCACTATTTAGGAAAAACAATCAAAACGTTAAAGAGATTGCATTATGGATTCTTATTTTCTATGGTAAGAAACCTATATTGGAATATAAAGAGCCTATAAATGCATCATCAAAACCATATTTAATCTCCAAAGATCCATAAATTCCAAAATAACAACTGAAGAAATTTTAATAATTGTTTTTTTTTTTTTTTTTTAAGTATTATTGGCTCATTATATTTGCTTGCTTATAAATCTGAACTCCAAAACATCCAAATGGTTGGATCAATTTGGTCAGATCTCATTAGGGATTTTCATTTTCTGTGGGTAGAAACCAATATGTCAATACGAAGAACCTATAGATTCATTGTCAAAAACATGTTTGATGTCCAAAGAACCACAAACACAGTTCCAGTGTGCTCCAAAAGGAACCACTGAAGAACCTTATATTTAAAAGAACTGATTATCTGTTCATTTTGTTCGCTTACATGTGAATGTGCAAATGACGGGCCAATTTTTGTCAGACTATAAATTCAATGCACATCTTTATGAATGAAATGTGTTTTTTCGCAACGATTCTCCATATATCTCAGGCGGGGATCGTGTTCCCTTTTCTCTGGCTTTTCTGTCTTTCACAACTCCTTATTTTGTGGAATCAGGCCACAGAGTCTGGCCTAGTCTCACGGTTCCTCTCTTCCACCATCTCATCGAGGGGAGGGGCTTCCTTGGCAGTGCCAGGCTCTGTTTGGTAGAATGGGTCCAAATTAACATGAATATTCATGAGCCCAGCACCCCTCCCTTTCCTTTCCCAACAGCGCATCAACACTTGGTAGCAGCACATGGCGGGACAGCTGTTGCAGGCCAAAGCGGGCATCTGTGCACAGAGAGACAGAGATATGGACCGGGGCGAGAGGAAGAGGTGTGGACATCTGTAGCCAGGGATTGACAAACGCTTGGATGGATGAAGAAGAGAGGCGAGACGAGAAGGAAAAATAGGAAGTTGGACTAGGACAAGGAAGCAGGATTATTTGAACAGATGACAGGGATGTTCTAGTGAGCGAGAGAAAGAGATCGGTGGAATATGATTCTTGCATTAAAACTAGAATTTAATCTATAAAAGAACCTTTTATAGATAAAAACAGAATGTAAAAGTCTCCTCCAATATGCTAGCATGTTGATATACGGTTGCTAGGTCAAAAAAGTCCACCACTATGATCGTGTGGTCTCTAGATGTGGCTCAAGTTCCTTGTTCAATGCAAATCTATTGGACTTTTTCACCTGTTTTATCGTTCACCAAGTGAAAATCGTAGAAACATAACAGCAAACCTCTCAACCAAGCGGCAACCTCCCTCTCTCTCTCTCGTGAAGCCAACACGGAAGTGACTTAAACTGTAATTCGTCAACTGGCCGCTAGAGGCTGGCTGCAAAAGGGAGTCAATCCCATAGACTCCCCATGTTAAAATGCCCAATTTTACAGCAGAAAAAAAACATGTTTACAGCCTGTTTCAAAAAAAGATTTTGGTCTATATAGCTAATTTTGCCCTTCGTGCCAACTGTGAGGGGGGTGAATTTTTTTATAACTCATCCGTTTAAATTATATTAAGCCTTAAAGTTCTGCATAATTAAGGGCGTGGCCACTTGAGTGACAGGTGGATTACTGCTGCTGTCACCACCGTCGAGCTAGGTGGGCGTGGCTTCAGTAACCAGCTCCCGCCTTTTTGCCCATTTTCGATTATCCGGGAGTGACACGCTGCCAAGATGGCGATGGCCCACTCCGCCCACTTTGAGCTTCAAAAACGCTCTTCAGAAAACTACGGGTGACGTCACGGACACTACGTCCATGTTTTTATACAGTCTATGCTCTCAACATGATTTAAAGAATATTCCCCACAGTAAAGTTTAATACTCAGGAGGTTAGGGTTTGATCAGACCACTAACCCCAAGTATTGTGTTAGTAAACTCCGCTAATAAAAGTTCTTCAGTGGTTCTTTAAGACCTTTATGTGAAGAACTATTTCTAGGGGACATTTACACAAAGTGTTTTTTCATTGAAAAACGCGAGATGGGAGGACTGAAATGGAATTTTAAAAAGCAAGGTCTTGAGATGCGTTTTTAAAAAGTTGAACTTATTTTAACATGAGCGCCTCGTTTTTAAAAAGCTGACCATGTGAGGAACACTGCAAAAGACACGAGACGCGAGAACAATGGTCAAAGACATCTAGCGCTTATATACAGAAAAACTATGGAAAAGTAGTGCAGCGAAATGCAAAAACTAAATAAAATTTCGTTTTTCGCAAAGTTTCTCCATATATCTTGGGCAGTGTAATAATGTGGATATCTTCTGGTCTCTATATGGTTAAAGTCACATGATTCTGAGGAATATTCCCTAAAATAAAGTTGAATACTCAGGGTTAGGGGTTTGTTCAGATGACTAAGCCTAAGTATTGGCTTAGTAAATCCATTAATAAAAGTTTCTCAATGGTTCTTTAGCATCTTCATTTTTAGGGGGCCATTCACACAGAAAGCGAAACGCGAGATCCAAGCAATGAAATGGAGTAAAAAAAAACTTGAGATGCATTTTTAAAACTTGAACTTTTTTCAACTTGAGCACCACATTTTTAGAACGCCATTTGAGTGTGAAACGCTGTAAAAGACTCAATATGTGAACGTAACGGTCAAAGATGTCCATCTTCTAGCATATACAGTATATACATTAAAAAAAATCGAAAAGTAATGCAGTGAACGGCAAAAACTTATTCTTTGTGAATAGCCCTTGATTTGACTCTATGGTTCTTTGGAGGCTCAGTAAGTTCTTGACGTTTCAGATCAGTCTGTTGATTTCTGGGTTCTTTAAAGCACCAATACATGGATGGTTTTCTACAAAACTAGAGAATAATGGTTCTTTGTGGAACTTAAGCTGGTTCTTCTATGACATCAGGCTGTAAAAGCCTTTTTGGTCCCAACTGGAATCGAAACCAAAGTTGTTCAATCTCTAGAAACCCCAACCTGACACAAAGCCGTTCTCTTTATAATCTCCCCATGATTTTGCCACCCTTCAACATCAAACTCCAGTGTGCTCTATGTTTTTCCTCAAATGACTTAAGCTCGCTATCAGTCTTATTCCACACACACACACACACACACACACACACACACACACACACACACACAGTCACACAAACGGGGCGCCTGGTTCTCGCTGCCCTACATAGGCAGTAGCACAGCAGGCAGTCTCTATGAAAGGCCCATGAGGTTTAAACTGTGTCAGATCCCCTGATAAGGCTCTGTATACAGAAGTCTCTGAAATCCCTCATCTGAGGACCCTCTGTGTTTAGGGGCTGTGCTTTACATCACTTTCCATGATTAATTAGGCTTAATTGAAAAAGGGAAAGTGGCACAAAAATGTAAATATTCCCAGATCCATCATGGTGGAACCAAAAATAATGCCATGTTTTGATTAAAAAATAGCTGCTGTTTTAAAGCAAAAAATGTAATCATTAATTAGGATATTGATTTTAACAGCCCCAATTTAATTATTATATTAATATTCTTTGTAGTTGTGTCTTAACAGACTTTTTCTACCTTGTTAAATTAAATTATTAAATTAAATTAAAATAAATTGAATTAGTTAACCTAATGCAATTTAGTATTAAATAAAACTAATAATTTTTTTTATTAATTAATACAAATTTATTTTATTTTACCTGATTTTTGTCGCTCCAGTCTTTAGGAAGGCCATATAATGTTGTGAAAGGATCGAAGCAAAGGAAACTTTATGCTTTTCCTATTTCATACAATCGATAGTGTAAAAAGTGAAGTTAAATACTTACTAAAACAATAGTCCAATCAAAGTGCATTTAGCAATTCAACAGACAACAAACTCATTTACAAGCAGCTTTAAGAGAACTTCATCCAAAGAAAATACCGTACAAGCAAAACAAATCTTCGATAGATAGATAAATAGATAGATATAGATAGATAGATAGATAGATAGATAGATAGATAGATAGATAGATAGATAGATAGATAGATAGATAGATAGATAGATAGATAGATAGATAGATAGATAGATAGATAGTAAACTGATGTTTGATCGCTGTCTGGTGTAAAATGAGGATAAGGAAGTTGTAAAAAAGTGGGAGACATTGTGCTAAGCAAGTGAAAGAGAGCGAAAAGAAAGAGAGGGTGGTCATACCATCAGCCACGACCTGGCAGAGAAGCCATAACTCAGCTGCCACCTGAACCCTGGGTCATGCTGCCTGTCCAGTGCCATTCCCGCGCCCTCCTGCCAGAAGAAATCCTCTTCCTGGGATGGCGGAAAAAATTAATAAATAAAAAGAAGATCGCAGAGCGAGCACCAATCAGGAGGAGCGTGCGGGCAGGATGCAGCCAGCATGCATGCCTGTGTTTGTGTGAGTATGTGTTAGCGAGAGGGAGAGAGGACTTTGACATAGAAAACACCAGGAAGTGCAATCCGGGCAGCTGTAGCCATACGGAGCAGCGCCAGCCGCCCGCCTGCCATCAGCAGACGCACTGACATACCGATCCTACACAGCCAACCAACACTGGGCTCTGAGTGTCAGCAGAGTGTTTGTGTGAACATACAGACAAATATTTACTTCAAAGACAGCATTTACAGGAGCAACATGATTCATGTTGGATATGCATTGACTTGCTTGTTAATCTACACACTTCTACACAATTTACCTGCCTCATTTTTTATTTGAATTTACTTTTGTGAAATTTAATTGCCAATACAACAGTGCAAACATATTGTGTTTGCTCATTTTTGCTGTTTGACACAGTCTCTCATGAACGATCAAATGAGGCCTGTTGTACGCGATAACTGGAAGCCGACGTGTATTTTTCAGATTGTTTGGCTGGATAAATTGTGATCCTATAATAATTTTAAGTATGTTTTACAGTTCATTTACACTGAGAATTTCCCTACCGAAGGGGACAACCCACCCCCAGACTGTGATTGTGCCCTCGTCACGCCACTTCTCCCCTGCCCCTCAGGAGGCCTGTCAATAAATATTAGGCCAATAAATCAGCAGATATTTAGCCATAAATGTTGCTTAGATGTCAGTAAAAATTTTTATTAAAAAACAACTACAGACAGCTTTATCAATGAATTGTATGTATATATATATATATATATATAGAGAGAGAGATAGAGAGAGAGATAGATAGATGGATAGATTTTTTATATATAAAGGTGGTGTAAAATGAGCATTCATTTAAATAAATAAACTTTTTTCTATTTGGTTATATAAAATATTTTTATAAATAAAAATAAAAAAGACAAATTGTATTTAAAACCATTTCATTTATGTAAAGAATATAAATAAAATAAAAATAGATATACAATTTTCATTTATATAAAATAAAATTATATAAAATATATACATAAAATAAAAATAAACAAAATAAACAAATTGATTTAATATTATTTCTGTTCTTTAAAATATATAAATACAATTATATAAAAGAATAAATACAACATATTTTAAATGCTTTCAATTAAAATATCTAAATACAATACAAAAATAATAAAGACAAAATGTATTTAAAATGATTTCAGTTATTATTTCTGTTATTTAAAATATACAAATGAAATACAAAATAATAAATACAAACTGATTTAAATATATTAATATACAAACGTAACTTTAAAATATATAAATGCCATAGTTTTTATTAAATTTAATAATGTCGACCATCCAAAAAAATTGTAAAAATATAAAAATTAAATAAAATATTACACGAAATGAAACATTGTTTGAAGGAGTTCCCATATTAATTTACTATGATGAGAAAGCAGTAAATATATGGTAATATTTTTCCAGTAACGATGGTTACCATGGTAAATGTTCATGCTGCAGTCGCTAATAAAAAATGTAAAGAACAAGCAGGCGTCCTGCAGTTTTATTTAGGTTAGGAGCAGCATGTAAATTCCTTCTTCTTATTATTGTTTTTAATTAAGTAGCATTCCTCAGTTCAGAATAGTTCATTGAAATATTTGCGTGCTGATTATTTGATTATCCTCATCCAGCCGCCTCTAAACGGTCCAGTCATGCATGCATGTAATGTGTGAAAGTGAATAACAGAGCACATGCAGTCCTGGGAGCAGCAGCAGCACTCAAAGCTGTGGTGAGGACCCTGCGTGTCAGATGAGAGACAATTATAAGTCTGCTAGCTACTTGGCACGGCTCCCTAATTTAAGGGAATTAAAACACGCTAAACAAGACTTCTTTGTGTGCGTGTGAGAGACTGTG